CTACGATACATTCAAATATCCATATGGTACCGATATCAGTCCACTCTGCAAGACTCTTTTGTCAAAAACAAATTTGTATTCTTTATTTTCCTTTCTGGTGATGAGTTCTGTAGTTTTGGAATCTCGGGCAATTTTGTAATTGTTCCGGACCGTGACGACAGGCGCTTCGCTGGAGGTGATCATATTTTTGATGGTATCAAAGTTGATATCCAAACTGTTCTTGTAATTCAATGTGATGCCTTTAACTTTGCAACAGGTACTTATCTTCCCATCTTGGTCTTGGGCGGTATACGCATAATTTTTCGGTCCACCAGTGACAAAAGAAAGGATTTTCTTATCAGGGGTCTCGTCTGTCATGTCCCCCAAGTAATCACCTAAAGGCGGTGACCATTCCCCCGTCCGTGCAGTGAAGATGACCGAATCTGTGTCAGCATATAGAGTCCGGTCGCCTAATTTTTCCAGGTAAGAGTATAATTTTAGACGGGCCTGTGCCGTAGTGTACGCTGCGATGACGACGTTGGTTCGACCGCTGGTCTCCACGAAATCGTCGTCTAAGACCCACTGGAGTCGTACCATTTCCTCGGACACATAGCTGACGTCTTTGACCTGTTGGCGATTGCTAGTCAACATATCAAAATATTCGCAGGGATCGGTCACATATGTTGTTTTGGGCATGTTTTCTCGCTGACCAAATTTACCCCAAAAACTGTTGAGCATCAGTTTTGCCAGCGCTCTAAGACCTGGGTTGGATACGATGTTAGCGTACTCGAGATGAATTCCTTCTCTTTGGTGGTATTCTTCTATGTACATGTATTTGTCTTCTTCCGTTTGACACCATTTTGGCCAACCAGATGCCTCTTGCTTCATTTTGAGAAATGTATTGACATAGTCGGTAAATGCTCCGCCCGATTTTGTTTGTGGATCGTACTGTGATATGCGATCGAAATGCCACACTTCGAAAATCTTATCCACCACGTAACCCTGTTCTACGGCTTTTTTGACTTCGTCGGTGACCCAGGTTCCAGTGATCATTCTTTTCCGATCGGTGTGCTCACAGGTCTGTATTTGTTTTTCCATGCACGTTCGACAGAGGCCAAACAGGAGCTTATTGTTGATTTTCGATGGAAGGACTGGCATGTATAGATTCTTTGGGGGAAGGATGCGGCATTTAATGAGTCCTTCGTAGTTTTGAAGCAGATCAAAATTTTCGGTCACGATCTGGGGACGTCCCAATGGAATCTTACCCGTTTTATTGATGAAGGGATAAAGAGAAGTCACATCAAAGTATTTGATACTGGTGTTTTCGTCTGCCTGGGCATGCAGTTTAAAGGCTTCAGTTCTACCGCCGAAAAAGGCATCTCTAGGTTGTAAGGGCGAAGTTAACTCTAAGTGCTCTATAAAAGCCCTCATTTCCTCTGTGGACTCTACGGTCCGATCGAAATCGGACTCCCACATCTGTAGGTAAGTATATCCCGAAGATTCCAAGTACCTTCTCTTTTCCAAGGTTCTCTGATAGAGGTCCCCCATGGTCATTCCCGCTACTTTATTGAGGGTGTTGGCAGAGTAGCTTTTGGGATTACCATGCCAAAAATCACCATGAAATTCCATCACTACCTTTTCATTTCCAATTTCATAGTATCCATCAACTTTGTACGGTCCAATCACCTTCTCTCCCACATTGCCTGCATGCTGAATCTCTACTTTTGTTAGATAAGCATGGTATTTTATCCACTGCATGGCTTTGACGGACTGTTTGTCTATCGGTCGATATCCTTGTGGCGGTATGATACCTATAGATCTTTCCTCTAAGAACAATTTCCGAAACACCAAGTTGCAGGCAGAAGCAATCGTAATACAGTGAGCAAAGGGATCAATACCTTCCTCACCATTTCTGGATGTCATCTGCATGAAAATTTCTCTAAATTTCAGACATCCTCGTCTCAAAATATCCACGTCCGATCGGCAATATTTGGTCATCTCTTTTTCGAAATGGAAAGTCTCGTTCTTATGTTTGTCATACCACAACATAAAATTTTGACGATCGTCTGGCATCATACCTTCAGGATTATAGTAGTTGATGTCAGGGAGATGATTAAGGATGAGCTGTTGATTTTCGCGTTTGTTGAAGAGATGAGGGAAGTATCCTTTGGCCAACTCGGAAAGATTGAAAGCCTTTGGGATTTTAGAGAGAGCCATTGGAATGAAATTCAAAGAGTCGATGAATTTCATCTTCAGATGAGGCACCTTTATGCTCATGAATTTCGATCCATTCATGATCACCTCCGGCAAGATGGCATTTTCGTACATATAGCTTACGATAGGATAGCTATCGTACCCTCGAAAGTTATGACAGAAAATACGCGATTCTTCGTTTTCCTCCGAAAACAACCATTTACAGAAATCATCACGTGTATTGGGGCCCTTGAATATCCGCTCTTTGTACTGGCATATGTCACAGAAGCTTTGATGGTCGATCTCGTCTTCATCAATGCATTCTTCGCATACCTTATGTACGACACATAGATTGGGAACGTGTCGGAAGGAACCACAGGGTGGTTTATGACAATTTTTGCAAACTGTCGTCTTTTTCGGAATGTATCCTTGTTGGCAAGGATTTGTATGGCAGTCAGATTGGTTGCAATTTCCACATATGATTTGCTGTTGTGGTTGGTAGCCCTCGTTGCAATGAATCATCTCGTCTTGCGTGCATTCAAAGTCAAAAAAGATCCATTTCTTTACGTCGTCATCTTCATCGACTTTTTTCTTTCTTTTTCTCTTCAACAGCTTGGTTGCTTCCTCCTCTGCCGTGGTTTTCATATAACACACGTGGTCTTTGGACATGAACATTTTACAAGTGTCACAGTATTTGTTTCCACACACGTGCGGTTGCTTCGATTTGCTTTTGTTCACTGACTACAACGATAGTAAGTCTGACAAGTGGAATTGCCTTGAGACGACAGTTCAGCGTGAAGTTGGAAACAGGTTGTATTCTTGAAATGACGATTGCATGTGGAACAATACTGCCAGTCTTCTGATTGGTCGTCATGGCATTTGTGGCATAGATAGCATGGTTCATTGCAGATATGCTTTTCTTTAGTGTTAAATCCTTTCTGACATTTCTGACAGAAATAATTTCTGTTCAAGAAGCCCGACATCGTAGTAATCACGTCATAATGATTGTTGTGATGATACAAGTAGATCTTCTTCTCTGCCTCTGGGCCTTGGTACACAATGGCGTTGAAGCAATCTTTAGAGACAACGTGGATCTGGTATCCAGGCAACGCCAACTGAAAGGCCTTCACGTCATCCAAATTGCACTGCCGTAAAGGCACATTGGCAGTTTTGTGCAAGTCTTCGGCCAGGGCTCTCTGTATACTTCTACCTGATGCATAGGAGAAGACAGTTCAGGATGCACATTTCATTTTATCAACAAGTGGTAAATAATAAGACATGTCAGAAAAACATAACATACGGAATACGATGTATATATTTTCTCTTCAAATGAATACCACTTAGTATATAAGATCAAACCTGTTCGTATCGAATTCCATTTTGGATGGTTGTCAATTCTAGCTTTGGCCGTCACAATGGCTCTTGCACAGCATAAATGGTCTCTATTGATAATCTTGATGAAGCTTCTCTTTTCTTTCAGAGACTTTTCAAGGTCAACGTAGCTTTTCTTTTTATGTCCTTTTCCAGAGGGCAGTCTGACATGGATCACTTCAATTTCTAATGACTGATCTACGACAAATTCTTCATACGACTGCAGCACACGCTCTATTTCGGTGAGAAGACGATCCGCCGTTAGCTGCGCAACCCGCATGAAGGGTAAACTTATGGGGTAATCCAGCTCTGGACATTGCACAGTTAAGCGAATTAAGTCGATGGAGTCCATGAATCCTGCTTTAAAAAACACATCTCTAGAAAATTGTACCTGTTGTATTTATTTAAATGGGAGACATCTATAACAAATGTTGGATGAAAAGGCATGTTTTATTGTCCAACTTTGTTTAAGGGTGTATAAAAATTATTTCTTGCATAAATTTATTTTACCACTGCAACACCCATGGGCAGTGAAGGTATTTATACCTGTCAAATCTTTAATCATCGACGAAAAGAGGTGACGCAGGCTTTGTAGAATATTAGGTAGATTCCTGATTTCCAGGTCTTGAAAGTGCACTCGATATTTGTTTGCCGTGGTGTTAAATTTCCGCATTTTTTGTTCACCAAGAGGAGTAACTCTGTAGTTTTCTGTAGGGTCATCCATCTTGGTAATTCGTCTTTTCATTGAAGGTCCGGCTTGAGGAGATTCGTTTGTTCTCTTTTTCCCTCTTCCAGATTGACCATGACGGTGATAGAGATGTAATTCTAAATTATTCTCTGTTGTGAAGGCTTGAGGACAATCTGGACATTGATACAGATCGTGCTTTTTTCTGTGCTGTGCAAGATTTTCCTCCCTTGCAAACTTTTTCCCGCAAACGTCACATCTGTAACCTTCCATATTCTATAATAAACAAATATGTTTATGTAAACTGTATCAGTTGTACCTGTTCTCAATGTTTGTCATTAAGTACTATACAATAATAATAGATTCGTTTTAATTTGAAACTTATTTCTAAATCATTGTTAGTAAATACAGATTTTCTCTAAAACAAGGTGGTTGAATTTTACGATACATATAATGGCGCTTATAAGAATTCTGTGATAGGTTGAATATTTTTAAACGGTCACGTGGGAACGAGATTTGTAGTAAATTCCCTGCTTACTCTACCGAGCTTTTGTAAACACTATCGAGTCATGATACTATACAACAAAATAAATTATCATATTTATACGTGTCATATTTCATCAAATCAAATCAAAACTAAGAATTGCTATTTTTTCCAATTGAATATTTAGCAAAAGTATGTGTATAGATTTCTTACCTCAGATAAGAATTAAATTCCAAAGAATAAAATAGCAACAGTGTTAATTTCCCGATGTTACTCGTTAGGGTGCTGTATGATTTATGGCGCACCAGTATCTAGATTCCGTCTAATATATTATTCTAAAGTCGTCATGGAAACAAACAGAAAACAAGTGAAACGATTGGTTACTTTATGATCATTAAAAGCATTTATTAATTTTTTTTTTTTCCAAATCATTTATTCAATAATACAACATAACAGTGAGGTAAAACTTCCGCAGAAGCCCTCTGGTAATACTTCACCAGGGGTGCCAGGAGCTCCCTGGATCAATATAATATTATTTAATATATTTCAATATATTTGAACACAGAATTTTTCACATTATGCTAATATATAATTATTGACTTCATTTTCATACATATACATAAGTATCTCAAAGAAAATTTTTACCACTTTTATATATAAAATCAAAGTATTCGTTTAACATCAGTAGAAGCATGACCCTTGTTGCAGTGGAGATTGTGTAAAAAAAAAAGAAGAAAAAAGTCTATATCAATCTCACTGTAACTAGTATTTAGGGCCAGGTCACCCTAAAATACTGGTCTTTTTTATGTTTTACATCTTAAAAACAGGATCAATATGCAGAGTTTTGTGATAATAAAATTAGATTATATAAAAAAAAAACAACATCAGAATGAATGAATTTTACAAAGACAGGAAAATTTTTTCCTCACATACATAATTTTAATCATATTTTAAACATAAAGTTTCCAGAACCATGAAAAATAACATAGCAAAAACATATCGTGTCTTATAGTGCATTTAAAATTTGAATACATGTACATGTATATATTGTTTATCACGGGAGCATACACTAGTATTAGAATCACAAGTAATTTTGAAATATATGATTAATTTTCTCTTTGAAATTTGTCAAATCATGTGATTGTAAAAGTGAAAAATTCGATTTCATTTCATTTTTGAATGCGCTTTTAATGCTGAAGTCAGTTATTTTTAAATTCTCATATTTAATTTTATTTCTTGTTTTCCATATGACCCATTTATAAATACATATGAAAATGTTAACAACGTTTCTTTGGGTTTGCGGTTCCTTCAGGTAGCCTAATGTTATTGTTTGTTGGTTAATTTGTAAAGTTCCATTTAGTTGCAGCACATTTTCAATTATATCTTCTAATAATTTAAGTGTTGTTTTAACTTTTGTGCAATGGAAAAAGAGGTGTTGTTGATTTTCTTTATGATTTTTACATAGGTTGCATAAACCATTGGATAGTCCGATTTTACATAATTTATCTTCAGTATACAATATATTATGCACGCATTTCCATTGGAATTCTTGAATTTTATTTTTAACTTTCATTTTTGAAATACTGTCCCAAACTAAGTTCCACTGTGTGTTATTTTGGTAGATATTTTCCCATTTTTCTTGACATTTTGGAATTATTGTCTTGTTTAATATTTTTTCTATGTTCTTTAACTTGATATCTTCAAAGGTTTCCACTTTATTAGTATCTCTTTTTATAAGTAAATTATTATTCAATTTATAAGGGAGTTTTGTTTCGTTATTTGATACTGAGCTTTTTCTTTTCAGTATTGGATAAAACAGTTTAGGAATGGCTGATTTTATTTTACTATATTCAAATATCCAACATCTTTTGTCTACTAATTTGTTAAAAATGGTGTCGTTATATTTAAAACAATTTTCCGCATCATTCCAAATTTCTTTAATTTTTAATAAACCACTTTTGATAAATTTTTACACATATAGGCTTTTCCCGTGGAATTGTATAAGTTTATTACCAAAGAGTGAGAGGTTAAGTATTTCCTCTGATTCTCTGGCACAAATTTTGACTGAAATTCGCAGTATGCGATGAGTGCTTTCTTATAAAAACTAGACATGTTATTTAAGGAAATTGGAGATAAATCTGAACAAGTGCATAAGAAATATTCTTGACTTGAATGTATATCTTTACTCTGTAACCAGTATTTACCAATAGCATTCCATGTTTCTAACTTTGAATGCATGATTTTATAAATTGTTTTTATTTGTTTACTTTTTTATAAAATTGAATAAATTTATCATGTTCATTCCTCCTTCGTTCTTGCTTAAGCAGCACACGTTTCTGTCAATTTTATTTTATTTATTATCCCAAATAAAAGACCAGACAATGTCATTTATTTGTTTTGCATATATATCAGGTATTCCCCTCATTTCGATTTCATAGCCAATAATTGGAATTATCAAATTTTTTATTATCAAAGTTTTCCCTTTGAATGTAAGGTTCCTAGTTTTCCAAACATGCAAGCTGTTCTTTATTTTTTCTATTTTTTCCAACCATATTGCATTAGTATCAATACCATATCCATGATTTACCCCCAAAGTTTTTATATTAGATTTTATCCACTGTATCTTTTTAAGTTTTGGTGTTTTACCTTTTGATTTGCCTATAAACAGGCCCTTTGTTTTCGAGAAATTGATTTTTGCCCCAGAGGCTTTTTCATATATTTCTAACACATTGAAGGAATGTATTATAGATTCTTCGTCCTTATTAAAAAGTTGTGTATCGTCTGCGAACATATTTATCTTACATTCTATTTTTTTATCTTTGTTAGGAATTAAAATACCCTTTATCTGCGGATTTTGTCTAATAGCACAGGCCATAGGCTCTATTTGAAGAACATATAGCAATGGAGCAATAGGGCAACCTTGTCTTGCCGATCTTGAGATTGGAAAGTATTTAGATACAAATCCATTAGTTTTAATGCATGTTTTTGATTTAATAAGAAGCATTTTTTATCCAATCGCAATATTTTTTACCAAAGTTAAATCTTTTTAATGTTGCTTCTACCCAACCCCATTCAATTCTATCGAACGCTTTTTGTTGATCTAGAAATATAATTGCTCCTTCTAAATCTTCATTA